ATTGACCATTCCTATGAGCTAGTATTAAACTCTGTGCCAAAATCAAAGCGTTTTAATAATTCATAACCACCCCTAAAACGATATTTCTCCCTTGTTCGTTAGCAAAGTATCGGAGGCGATTCAAGTAATCTCTGTAAGTAGCATTCAATAAATTATCGATCTGTAAGTAGATGTTCACTCGCTTTTTTTGTATTTGTTTTTCTATAGAAATTTTAGCCCCTAGCAGAAAATAAGCATCTGGCGCTAGCATAAAATCTTGTGAGAGATTTAAATGATCTTGTTTAAACGTATAGCTTCCAGTAATGGATATACTTGGGTTCTCCCAATTTCCTAACTTTGATTTTGAATATTGTAGTTCTGAACGCAATCGATTGGCTGGCATAAAAATCAGTGGGAGATCTTCCGTCAAATTATTCCCTCTTAGATAACTGTATTCAAGACTATAATCTATACCTTCTGTAATCTTATACTTTGTAGATAAATCCAAACCATACATCTGTGCGTGCGTCTGTTCATAGTTAAACACTGGATATGCACCTCTTATCGTCAATCTCGTTTCACTCTGAGGTTTGAGATAAATAAAATCATTCAAATTGTGAAAATAAGCCTGAGCCTGCCACGAAAAGGCTTCCTTTACTCTAGACTGAATGGCTAAACTAGTTTTAAAAGATTTCTCTGACTTCAAATTTGCATTACCTTCTTCTATACTGCTAACCCCTTGATGCAGACCGAACGAATACAACTCATTAATAGCTGGATTTCGCAGAGTAAATCCTGAGTTAAAAACCAGTTGTGTTAAATTAGTCACCTGATAGGAATAGGAAATAGCTGATGTTATATTCCCAAAAAGATGAGCGAACTCTATGTTTTGTCTAGGTATAATTCGAGTCGTGGTATAAATATTTTGTATAAAAAAGTCGCTTCGAATGCCTAAATCTAAGCTGGATTGTTTATAATAAATCGAATGTGTGAAAAATAAAGATGGCTCTAAAGAACTATAATTAGGGATCAATGGCGTCACCCCTGTTTCGGGCTGATTTATATTTTCAGAATAGACTAATTGAACTCCCGCCTTAGTGATTGTTTTATTATTGACTAGCGACCATTTTCCTTCTAGAAAATGACTGTGCTGAAAAATGTATAATGCGGGTATTTCAGATCGTGAACCTCTGCGAACGTCAAACTCCTTTCTATTATTGATCTGACCTGAATAGGTTAAGCTTAATGATTGATTCGAATCTAGTTCTTTTTTAGTGACCAGTTTTACAAAATGATGATTTACCATCTGCCTAGGAGCTCCAATAGAACCATTGAAATCTGCTTCAGAGAAGAAAGGTTGTTCTCTACCTATCGCTTGATTGAGATCGGTCAAATTGCTGATATGTGATCCTCGCAATACGCCAAGCTCTGTATTGAAGGTGCTGAGATATAGGCTTGTCTTCCAACTTTGAAATAACATTTTCTCTGCATGAAAACTCATATTGAATTCCTTAGCTCCCGTATTTCTCAAGAAATAATCTGGACTAGACCTATCTCCATTTTGTTTATAAGTACCTGTTAATCTCCAAGCTAATTGCGGTTGATTTTTTTCTAATTGCACATTAAGTCCGAATCCTCTCCCATTGGATTCTCCATAAGCATTTAGTTTCCCATGCAGGTGCGGATCTAATGTCAACTTATTGGCCTCTACTAGGATAATGGCCCCCATGTTGATTCCTTTATATTCCAGGGCTGCCACGCCATTAATTATCTTGATTTTATTTGCTGCTAATGGGTCTATTTCTGGCGCATGATCATTGCCCCATTGCTGTCCACTCTGGGCTATGCCTTGGTGCAGAATAGTCAATCTATTTCCATAAAGTCCTTGAACAACTGGTTTGGCAATATTTCCATTTTTAAGGCTTCGCGCGCCCGTGGTCTTTTCTAGCACACTTGCTAAACCCTCTTTGGCATTTTTATCTATTGTCTGAGATGATACTGTTTCTAATAAAGCGGGAGACTTGCCTCCTATCTTCACCTCCTTTAAATGTTTGTGATAGTGATGTAAATAAAACTCGATAAATGTATCTGAAACCAAGTCCAGATGATATTGCTCCGATTCGCATCCGAGATGGGAAATGATGACATGATATTCTCCTTCCTTTTCTGCGGTAAACTGGAATTTTCCATCCGAATTAGATTCGACGAGTTGGTTTAATTCTATGATCTTAACCCGAGCAGATTCAAGAGGTCTCAAGGTAATAGCATCCTTAATTACTCCGCGTATGTAAATAGTCTTGGACTGAGAAAACCCAGCCCAAGACATAAATAAGATACTAAAGAAAATTAGACGCTTAATACTTGTTTATTAAATGACAGTAATTGGAAATTCCATTTCTGCATCTGTTTCACCACCAGCATTGGTAATGCTGCCTTCTGCTACACCAGGAGCTCGTTTATTTGGTTCATGCTTTAAAATCACTTTTATAACTCCCGTTCCTGAACCAATAGTTTTCACCGTGTTAGCCAGTCCAATTGGGTTATTGGTAGAATCTTTATCTGTATAGTTGAAGCTAATTCCCGAGACAGTAGAACTAAAGAAAAATTGATGTTTAGTGCCTTCGCTTGATATCTCTGCAGTCTTTTCTTCATAATTATTATCATGAAAGTGATACAGACGAATAACGCCCGTATACGTCGTATTACCCTTTAAACTTCCGCCAATAATAGTTGGAGCGGCTCCGCCATCGCCATCTTTATCTTCAAAAGTTAAGGTGGCTTTTGTACTGGCCGAAGTTAATTCCATGGTTACTTTATTGATAGAGTCACGATCTGCAGCGATGACCGCATCTTTTTTACAGCTATTAGTAAATAAAAGAATTGAAATAGTTAATATTGAACTTATGATTGATTTTTTCATTTTTAAAATTGTAGTTTATATAAATAATTAATAGGATTATTCTACCAGAAATAGCTAGAATAAAATCTTAACGAGCCTCTATCAAATTTAAATTTGATAGATTATAAAAACTACAAAATTGGGGGACCTCGCTCTGAAAAGGAGACGATGACATTAAGTACAAATGCAGAATGAATTTCTACAAGACAAAAATAGGTTTTAGCATACGAGACAAAATGATATCCTAAATCGAATATATCAAAAACGGAAAATTCAAATGCACAGATAGCACATTTTTCGGATAGCTTATGTAAAGTCTTCGCGCCCTCTATAGAAACATCTTCATAACTATGATGATGCCAACTCTTCTCCACCTGAGGCAGAAGAAACAAGCTCAACAATAAAACAGCCAATAAAGGTTTTACAAACCGCATACTGACCCCAAAATTAAGTTAGTTAGATTTAATGAATCAGACTTTTCTCAAACATTTCTATTTGTTTTTGGGCTAAGACACTAAATTTACACTTAGTAAAAATTTATATGATATATCTCAAAAGATTTTATCTCATTCCTTGGACAGTTTGGTGTGGTCTTGTTTTTCTGATTCTTAATTTAATTGGATTTCCATTTATGTACCTCTTTCTGCTGTCTGGAAACAAAAAACTCCACCACATCACCCACCACTTTCCCACTGTTATTGGCAGAATTAGTGCCTTTCTGTGGGGCTTGCAGATAGTAGAAACTGGCAGAGAGCATTTCGATGCGAATACGCAATACATTTTTGTAGGCAATCATCGGTCATTCTTAGATGCTATAATTTCTGGTGGTTTTATCTATAATCCTAAAAAATTTATCGGCAAAGCCGAGATATTAAAATGGCCTTTCATGGGTTTTATTCTCAGAAAACTATATATTCCCGTAAAGCGAGAAGATAAAGACTCCCGTAAAAAATCTATGGAACAATTGATAGAAAAAATGAAAGAGGGCTATTCGATGGTGGTCTTCTCGGAAGGGAAAAGCAATACAACTGATGAGCCACTGCTTCCTTTTAAGGACGGGGCTTATACCACTTCCTGTGAAACTAAGATACCTATAGTACCCTTTGTAATGTATGGAGCGGATGATCTTTGGCCTAGAAATCAATTTCTAATCAGACCTGGTAAAATATACTTAGACTTTCTTCCTATAGTTATGCCACTTGATAGCACGGACGAAAACATTCAAATTCAGAAAGAAACGGTTTACAATCAAATGCTAGAAACCTATCTAAAGCATGCGAATAAAGTTTAGCCTTTAACCATTAAAAATTTTATTTCACTGTGATAGAGTCAGAGACTCTTCAACACACGCAAAAAAACTAAGGATTTTTTGTTTTTATCTTGACATATAATTCTTTGTCATTAAAAACTTCATCTTTTAATAGCTTTTTAAATTCTCTTTTTGAAGGACTGATACTTTTAGGTAGATTATTATCTAGAGGGTTTTCAGTTATAGTCTCTAACTTTTCCCAATTAATAGGTCCCGAAATGTTGGAAAGCGATAGAACACCTTTATTTAGTATTACTTGCTGTGTTGTCCAGCTGTGTTTATCTAGTTTTTCATTTAAAAAGAAGCGGCCTTTAAACCTTTTCAGTATATAGTTTTGATTTCTTTTATAAAGTGTATCGATAGTGTTTAATGCGAAATATATGCTATCTCCGATTCTTTCTATTTTATAAGATTCATTATTCGTTAAATCTACTAATGAATCCCCTACAATCTTAAATGTACTATCTTCTTCTATATCTTTATAAACGCCTCTTAATATGTGGTTCGTACTTTTATAAATCAAATTAGAGCTTATAACTAGCGTAGAATTTTCTGCCTTGTTATAATAAGAACCATGTAATTTTTTTGGAATGTAAAGAAGTCCAGCGACGCCTTTGGGTTGGGCTTCAGTAAATATAACTGCCGGCAACTTTTTTTCATTGCAAGAAATGATGAATAAAAGAAAGTCTATAAGTAGACATTGGAAAATCAGTTTCATTTTGTGTTTGTTTTAAAAAGACAAAGAGGTGCTTAAACATATTTTTACTCAAGTGAGGTTTGAGCTAATTGGCTGTTTTATATTTAGCAATTTTATTCATTCGTAAACTTCAACACATGCTCCAGCTTATCCTTGGCCTCGATACAATTCTTAAACGTAGAAAACTCCAAGATAATATGCTGCGCCGTTTGCTTCATAGAAGAACCTACAGGGTATTTGGATAAATAATTGAGCATTTTTCCGAATATATCAGATTTATAAAACGGAGAATCTTGGTTCTGCACGAGATAGCATCGCATTTTACCGTTTTTAATAATGATTCGCTCTACCCCTAATTTGGTTGCTAGCCATTTCAGCCGAATAGCATCACAAATATCTTGTATTTGATTAGGTAATTTACCGTAGATATCTTTCAACTGAGACAGATAGACAGTCAACTCCTTTTCCATTTTCATCTGATTTAATTCTGTATAGACATTGAGTCTTTCCTGTGAGCCTGTTATATATTTGTCAGGGATATACATGTCATAATCCGTTTCTATTTGACACTCTCGAACAAAGGATTTTTCGGTTCGTTCATCGGCATAGAGTTCTTTATAGTCTCCTTCTTTTAGCTCCAATATGGCCTCATCCAGTATCTTCATAAATGTATCATAGCCTATATCGGAGATAAATCCAGACTGCTCTCCACCTAAAAGATTTCCTGCTCCGCGTAGGTCTAAATCTCGCATAGCTATCTGAAATCCAGAACCCAATTCCGCATTTTGTTCCATCGCGCTCAGTCTTTGCTTAGCATCATTAGTCAATGTACTATAGGGCGGTGATAAAAGATAGCAATAAGCTTTTCGATCGCTTCTACCTACACGTCCGCGTAGCTGATGTAGGTCGCTCAGGCCAAATTGATGAGCATTGTTTATAATAATAGTATTCACATTGGAAATATCAATTCCCGACTCTATTATATTAGTGCTCAATAGTACATCATATTTATGCTCAATAAAGTCTATGAGGGTCTTTTCGATGACATCGCCTTCTAATTGTCCATGCGCTATGGCTATATCTATACTTGGTAAAATAGCTTGAAGCATGTCTTTTATTTGAAATAAATCCTTGACCCTATTATGCACGAAAAAGACCTGTCCGCCTCTGCCTACTTCATTGTTGATTATTTCTTTTATATACTCTGGGTCTAAGAGCGTGAGTTCGGTATATACAGGCTGCCTATTGGGCGGTGGTGTTTGAATTAAACTATAATCTCTAGCGCCTAATAAAGAGAATTGAAGGGTTCTAGGAATAGGTGTAGCCGTTAAAGTTAAGGTGTCTACGTTGAGTTTAAACTCTTTGAGCTTTTCCTTCACCTGTACGCCGAATTTTTGTTCTTCATCTATTACAAGTAGTCCAAGGTCCTTGAACTTGACATTTTTCCCTACCAAAGCATGTGTTCCTATGAGGATATCTACCTGCCCTGCTTCCAGTCGTTTTAAAATGGTCGTTTTTTCCTTAGCGCTCTTAAAACGATTAATAAATTCAATATTGCAAGGCAAACCATCTAGTCTTCTTTTGAAGGTATTATAATGTTGAAACGCCAAAAGAGTCGTGGGTACCAATACCGCTACCTGCTTGGAATCTGCCACTGCTTTAAATGCAGCGCGAATAGCTATTTCTGTCTTTCCGAAGCCTACATCGCCGCAAATAAGTCTATCCATGGGTATTTGCTTTTCCATGTCGATTTTTACATCTAATGTTGACTTTGCTTGATCAGGAGTATCTTCAAATTCAAACGAAGATTCTAGCTCCATTTGTAGATAAGAATCCGGAGAAAATGCAAAGCCCTTGCTAGCCTTTCTTTTCGCGTAGAGTTTGATTAGATCTTCCGCGATATCCTTGATTTTCTTCTTCGTCTTTCGCTTGACATTTTCCCAGGTATCGCTGCCTAGCCTATGCATGCGTGGCTCAGTTCCATCTTTTCCTACATACTTGCTTATTTTATGAATAGAATTAATGTGAACGTAGAGAATATCATTATTGGCATAGATAAGTCGAACGGCTTCTTGTACATGTCCTCCCACTTCTAGTTTTTCTAAGCCTGAAAATCGTCCCACACCATGGTCAATATGGGTCACATAGTCTCCAGGTACTAACTCCTTTATTGATTTTAGCAGTTGCGCTTGCGCTGAAATATTCGTTTGGGTAGCTTGAATATCTCGCTTCCTTCGAGCAAAGATTTCATGCGTAGTAAAAACCGCAATTTTCGACTCATTATCTATAAATCCTTTATAGAGTTCATGATTGATTTCCTCAAAATCTACTTCTTGTCCTAAATCATGAAAAATACTTCGATACCGCTCAGTTTGTTTTTCATCCTCAGATTGAATAAAAACCCTGTATTTATCTTTATTAAGACCGATTAAAGTTTGATGTAATTTATTGAAATTTTTATGTATAATGGGTGTACTGCATACACCGTTGATTTCTTGACCATCTGAATAGAACAATTCTATATATCTACCGCTATGACCGAAGCTAGTCAACTGATTCGCTATACTTATGGTGTCCTCCGTTACGATTAATTCTTTTATTTGCTCTATTTCCCTACCCACCTTTTGATTAAACTGAGCACTAGCATATATTGTGTCCGTCTCTTTTAATAAACTATAAGCATGCAGTTTCTCGGACTTTCTATTCCTTGCCAAAAAATTGGGAGAAGGGGTAATAAAAGCTTCTTGTCTATTAGTCACTGACAATTGAGTCTCAATATCAAATTCCCTTATTTCTTCTACATCAATATCGAATAACTCTATACGGAGAGGATGCTCATAAGCATAAGAGTAAATATCTAAAATATTCCCCCGGATAGCATATTGGCCATGCTCATATACATAATTTGTCCGAACATAGTCTAACTCATCTAAAAAATGGGTCCAGTCAGGGATGTTTAATCTATCCTGTAGTTTTATTCTTCTCCTAAACTCTTCTCCAGAATGAACGTAAACGCTCTCTATAAGCGAGGAGGGATGCGCAATAAGTATAGCATTTTTACTCTCTCGAAAAGCATGTATCGCTCTGGCTCTCTCTGCTTGCTTATGTCTGGCTTCATCCACAGCCTTATTCTTGATGACAAAGGAAGGTTCTAGTAAAAGAGGTTTTCTAGATGGTAAAAGAAGAGTTAGATCGTGAAAATAGTCTTTTGCTTGTTCTTCTGTATCAAAGAAAAAAATATGCCGACCTGCAAGTTCATTTATTAAATGACATAAGATAACTGAATCAAAAGAGGTTTTTGATAATTTTAATTTTTTAATCTGCGAGGAGGAATGATCCTCCTTGAGCTCCTGGACTATATGATGATGCCCATAAAGCGATATTAGTTTTTCCATTTCTTTTAAACCAAAGGGGGAAACTTTAACCCTTCGGTTTAATACTTTCTATAGGTTTGAAATAAACCGAACTTTTTACGGTATTAATTCATTAGATCTTCTATTTCTTCTATTTCTATCGGGCATTTCTCTAATAAATCTAAAACTCCATTAGATTTAACAACTAAATCGTTCTCGATTCTGATTCCTAGGTTTTCATCCCAAATATAAATGCCTGGCTCATTGGTAATAACAGCATTTTCTGGCATCTTAAGATAGTGGTTTCCTATATCATGTACATCTAAACCTAAATAGTGACCTAGACCATGTGGAAAGTATTTTCTGTAAAGAGGATTGTTCGGGTCCTGATTTTTTACTTCTGTCTTATCTAATAAGCCAATTTCGATTAATTTCTCTTCCATAAGCTTCTTGCCTTCATTATTCCATTCTATAAGTGAAAGACTAGTATTTGCCATTGATTTAGCTGCTTTAAATACGTCTAAAGTAGCCGAATAGATCTGTTTTTGGCGAGGAGAGAATTTGCCTCCGATTGGTATCGTTCTTGATAAATCTGAAGCATAATTTGAAAAAGAACAACCAAAATCCATTAATAAAATTTCGCCTTTTATTAATGGCCTATTATTGTCATTATAATGAAGAATACAGGAGTTTTGACCACTTGCTATTATGGAATTATACGCTTGTATAGCCTTGTTTTTATGGAATTCATATAAAACAAATGCTTCAACTTCATGTTCAGAAGTAAAATGCCTCATTTCTTTGAGCAATTTTACGAAGGTCTGCGAAGTAATATCAGCGGCTAATTGCATCGTTTGAATCTCTTCTTCCGTTTTGGTCATTCGCATTTTAGCCAGAATTGGAGCACTTCTTTCATATTTATGCGCTGGAAAATCTCGCTGAATAGTTCTCAACTTTCTCAGATCCATATAGTCCCCGTCAAAACTTGCCCTATCATGTTCGTTGAGATTTATATATACATGCTCAGCATAGTGCATCATCATACGAAAAGAACTATCTGCGCTCTTATTCCATTGCACGTTCGGAATTCCGGAAATACTTTTTGCTTCATCGAGTGTGTATTTAAACCCTTCCCAAACTTTGATATGTTCGCTCGTTTCTCTTATGAATATGCACTCTTTCCATAATGGATTCGGTGCATCTGGATATAAGATCAAAACGGATTCTTCTTGGTCTATTCCCGAAAGATAAAAAGTATCTGGGTTTTGGAAAAAAGAAAAATTAGCATCAGCCGATTTATGAAATACATCCCCTGAATGAAAAATGGCAATAGAATTTGGCTTCATACTTTTTATGAAAGCATTTCTTCTTCCTTTAAAAAAGTCGGATGTTAAGGCTAGCGGTCTTTTCACTTGGTTCTATTTATGATTCTTTAGAAAAAAAAAGTCGGCTAAATTTAGCCGACTTATAATTATTTAATGGAATGTTCTTAGAAATAGAAACTCATTAAAGCCGCTACACTAAGCCCTGTAAATTGATTTGAATTTGTAGAGAATCTGTTATAAAACATAGCTCTTGGCGCTAAGCTAAAAGAAGCATAGCTATTTCCTTCAAACTTTGTTTTAAATCCAAACTCTACTCTAGCTCCCATGTTAAAATTGTCGAAAGTTTTATCTACTTGATTAGAAGATGCTTCAAATGAACCAAATGGAACAATTGTAAAATTTGACTCTGATTTTAATGTAACGCTATTTATCAAGCTAAAATTTGTATAAAACCCTTTTGGAGCTTCCTTTCCCAAATTAAAACCAATACCAATAGGAACTTCCAAAGCGGTAATTTGATCAAACGATGTTTTACTTTTTACTGTTGGGTCATTATTTACCCATCTTTCAAATCCACCAGAAGTAATTCCAAGACCTAAATGCCATAGGCTTTTTTAGTCAAAGACTTGTTTAACTCTATTCCTGCATTCATACCTAATCGTCCACCTCTCATTACTGAATATTCACCTTCATATAAAAAGTCCATTGTAGGACCTCCATAAATGCGTGCATTTAGTTTTTTAGTAACAGATTTAGGGTCATTGGCAACTTCTTTTAGAGAAGTAGGATTGTCTTGAGCTTTTGACACAAATGAAAGAAAAGCAAAACTTACTAACAAGGACGCTCTTAATAAATTATTCATACGTTTAATGTTTAATTTTAGATTTTTGAATTACGCAAAGATATATGTTTTAAAAAATTTGTATAAAAAAATTTACGCTATGTCCAAAATAAAATTGTTTCTAGAGCCAAGCTTCTCTAAATCAGAGCATAATTTAAACTTTAACTCTCCTTGTTTTTTTATAGGGTCTTGCTTTTCTGATAATATCTCTACTATGCTGGGTCATAGAAAATTTCCTGTTTTGTCCAATCCGAGTGGAATTCTGTTTGACATATTATCCATAGAGCGTTGTATAGAAGACATAGTGAATAAAAGACAATATGTAATATCCGATTTGTTTTTACACAACGAACTGCATAGTAGTTGGAATCACCATACTTCTTTTTCCAACCTCAATGCAGAAAACACTATCCACTCAATCCGAGAAAGTCAACAAAAAGCTTACGAATTTATTCAACATGCAGCGGTTGCTTTTCTAACACTAGGTAGTGCTTTTTCCTATTATCATAAAAAAGAAGGCCGCTTTGTCTCGAATTGTCACAAAGTACCTCAATTAGAATTTGAAAAAAGGCTCCTTTCTTCCGAGGAAATCTATTCTTCACTTAACCGCATAAATGAACTGTTTGGCAGTATTAACCCGAAAATCAAGGTAATTTTAACCATTAGCCCCGTTAGACATTTGCGTGATGGAATCATAGAAAACAATCGAAGTAAAGCGAAACTTATCGATGCTTGTCATAGATTTATAGAAAATACCTCAGGTGCCTACTATTTTCCTTCTTATGAAATAGTCCTAGATGTTCTGCGTGATTATAGATTTTTTGATATCGACATGGCTCACCCTAACTACTTAGCTACAGAGATTGTTTTTGATTACCTTAAAACATTATGCATCAATCCAAAATGCTATGAAGATATGGATGCATTTTATCAGCTATATCTGGCTATGAAACATAAACCCAAACAGCCCGATTCTAAGGAGCACTTAAAATTTTTAACCTCCCAGTGTGATAAAATTAAACTATGGCAGAAAACACATCCTGCTATTGATTTTTCAAAAGAACTTTGGGATTTTGAAAAAGAATTAGACTCCTTAGAAGTTAGGCCTTAAACTCTCCTTCGAATAGAATCGTTTGACAATATTAAGAGCCTCATCGGTTGTATCTACGATTTCTAACAAGTTTTCATCGCCCACAGAAATATACCCATTCCCCTTCATAGTATTAATAATCCAGTCTTTAAGCCCTCCCCAAAAACTAGAGCCATAGAGAATAATTGGGATTTTATCTATTTTAATAGTCTGAACTAGAGTTAATACCTCAAAAAGCTCATCCATAGTACCAAATCCGCCTGGAAAGATAATGAAGGCTTGCGCATATTTCACAAACATCACCTTTCGAACGAAAAAGAAATTATGATTAATTGATTTATCAATGTCGATAAAATCATTAGGTTTCTGCTCATGAGGTAGAATAATATTTAAACCTACTGATTTCCCTCCAGCCAACTGTGCGCCTTTATTTGCCGCTTCCATAATCCCTGGTCCTCCTCCAGTTATGATTCCAAAACCTTCAGCTACTAATTTGGCAGCCATACGCTCTGCCTTTTCATAATAGATCTCATCGGGTTTGGTCCGAGCACTACCGAAAATAGAAATACAAGGTCCTATCTTAGGCATTTTGTCGAATCCTTCTACAAATTCGCTCATGATCTTGAACATCAACCAAGACGACTCTGCTTTTACTTCACTCCAGTTTTTTTCCATTTTAGGTGGTTTTTTTAAATTTAATATTAGAACAACTAGTCTATAATTGAATTTATAGCACTCGTAATTCCTTCCAATATTGCAGCACCAAAAAAATCGCTAACAATATTATTCATAACCGAATAACCAGAACCATCTTTTGAGTCTTTTAGTTTTTTGAATTGATTCCTTTTCCATGTCTTAAATTCTGTTGAATCTAGTTGGTTTGTATCATAAAATTTATTGTAATTAATTCTTCGAAAATGATCACTCAAAATATAATAAGATTCGAATACGCGATTAAAACCAGCGACTTGGCCTCTTATTTCTGGATTATACTTAAGCAATTCGCACTTATATGACTTAACTATTTCATCATCAGAGGCCTCCTTTGTTAACTTTAAAACTTTATAGTAATCCATTATACAATCTTCAACTTTGCATACTTCAACATTATCTTCTTCACATTATTATTAAAATCTATCGTGGCAATCTTCTTGTCTCCTTCACCTGTAATTTCGGTGATTTTTCCATTACCAAATTGAATATGCTGCACGTTCATATCCACAGCTAATTTATCAGGACTATCCGCTACAAAATTGCTCGTATCGACTTGAGTAGCTAGACTCGCCTGTTTTAGATTATTGAGCAGAACATTGGGTTGATATTGCATGGTCTTTCTAGCAAATGGGTTTTCGCTAGCGTCTGGATTGGGCGCTCCTTTAAATTCAATAATCTCAGCTGGCAATTCTTTGAGAAATCTGCTAGGCTCACATGGATTTATTTGTCCGAATTTATAACGACTAGCTGCAAAAGACACCATAAGGTCAGACTCTGCGCGGGTCACAGCTACATAAAATAATCGTCTTTCTTCCTCCAGATCTTCTACCGTATACATCGAGCGCTGACTTGGAAATAAATTTTCCTCCAGCCCTACCAAAAATACTGCCTTAAATTCTAGACCTTTTGAAGCGTGAATTGT